AGTCAGTGTTAATGCCATTTTTGGTCTTTTTTTTATAAAATAAGGCTCTAGCCGGGTACACGCATCTAGAGAAATAGCAAGGGATCTGCGCTCAATATCTTTGTCAGATAGTATTGTAATTGTGTGGGGCTAAAGTTGCAGGAGCAGAGCGCCTTGGTTTGGATATTGCCTGCTTAGATTTCCCTCGAGCCTGATGCAACACACACCACACACACACACACACACACACACACACACACACACACACCACACACACACACACACACACCACACACACACACACACACACACACACACACACCACACACCACACACCACACACACACACACACACACACACACACACACACACACACACACACACACACACACACACACACACACACACACGCCTGTCCCTCTGTCCTTTTTTAGGCTGTCTCACCTTCTGCATCAGAAAATAAACAGTGCTGCCTCGCTCTCTCATACCTTCGATGGAGAATTTTGAATGACAGAAAATAAAAAAGGCAGAAAACAGGAAACACATTTATAATGCGTTCCTTAACACATAATGCATCCAGTCCTCATCCAAAAACATCAAACTAAATTGTTGGCCAGTGTTTTCCAAAACAGATATGACTATAACAAAAATAAATCTCATGAGGATTTTCTAAACTATCAACTTTTAAACTAGCTGATAGGACTTCTGTACTCTTGTGACTATACATTTATATGTAGAAAGTGCCACTACAGAGATGTTACAGTCATTCCCTATAGCTGCAATACGTGTGCAGAGACACAGAAAGTGCATATGCAAAAGATGTAGCAACATTTTTTGAATGTAGGCCAAAAGAGACCAGCGCTTAAATGCCGAGTTTTGGACAGATAAGAACAATTGTGTTTTTTGAGCAATAAAGCATGAAAAACACGTTTAAATAAGAGCCCAAACCAGGGCCGGACTGGGACAATAAGTCAGGCCGGGAATTATACACCCAGCCAGGCCACTATCAGTTTTTTTTGTGACATTTTTCTGGATTTATTTGTCAATATTTACAGCATTGCTGCCCATAGTGATAGCCCTATAGTTTAAATCTACTACCCCAAAATAAGCATATGGACAGGGGTCACTATTTAAAAAATGTTTATAATCTATTTAGGAATCTATTCATGTGAACAGTGGAGGTGGACCTCAAATCCTCTAGGGGATCCGGGGGCATGCTCGACTGGTAAGATTTTTTTAAATGTTGGAGTTAAATGCATCAATCTGGTGCACTTTGAGGGGGAAATAAAGAGACTAGATCTATGGGAACACCTATATGAAACAGAACTGTATACATTTCAATAATCATAAAATCATGGCCATAATCAATAAGATACCAATATGAAAAACATTGAAACTTGTTTATTTATTTGTTTTTGGTTCATTTATAGTTGTGAGTGTGCTCCTGAATCAGCCTCACCTCCCTCCCTCCTCTCCCCCCTGCTCCTCTTTAAGGCAGAAGCAAAGACTAGTTTTAGCTCTCAACAAGTTTTAAAAGTTTCTTACCTTTTTTCACCTAGTTAATTTTTTTAATTTATTATTCATGGATATTTTACTAATCTCACTCCCCCCTCAAATGGAAATATGTGTTTACATAAATAGTGACCAAACCGTTTGAGACCCACAGAGATAACTAATGGCGCATTTCCACAACAGCGCGGAGCGCGATTTAAGCGTGCCGTGCCCAGCCCGTTTTTGGTTGCGTTTCCACTAGGCGTAGTTCGTTTGTCTGGCTCTCCAAAACCGAGGTTCTTTCCGGGTCTATCGTTCCGGGTCTATCGTTTTTCAAACCCAGTTTAGATTTAACCAGGCCCACATCCACATTACGCAAGCATCGACGCGGCGTTACGTAACTGCATCAACGCGTAACTGCATCAACGCGTACTGCATCAACGCGGCACGCCCGCAAAATCTGAATCTGACAAGCGAACCGTCCTTTTAAACGCTGCATCATACAGCATTATTAAAAGCACAATACAATAGTGTTTCTTTGTCAATATGACTGACGACCACACTTATGCAGCGCTGAGGTAATGTTAATTCATCATTTAATATGAATTCCTGATGGATATAAGAGGGATACATTAGCAAACATATGTATATATAGCCTATGTATAATGCTTTGTTTTTTTGTTTGTCATGTAACATATTAACGGTTTGACCTTCTGTTTAGGATGTAAAGGTATATATTTAATATTTTATTTAAAAGGTAGACATTTATCATAATAAATGTCTATTTTGTTATACAATACAACATTTGTATATATAACATTTTACATTAATAACATTAACGTTTTGAGAGCATGTAAAAATGAAATGTTGGGACATTTATAAAAATGTATTCCTTTACATAAAAGTGCTTTCCAGAGGTGTCAGAAGTGATAAGATATTTTACTTGAGTGAAAGTATGAGTAACAGAGTGTAGAAATACTCAAGTATAAGTACTAAAGTATTAGCATCAGAATATACCTGAATAACTATAAGCTGTTTTTTTTGCTTTCATTTCAGACCTCGTTTTTTAGTGTGCTCGGGAGGCACACAGAACAATATAGAGGAGTACCCACAGTTGAAGGTCTCTGATAAGACCTATCTCTCAATACTATGATGAACATCAAATTACATTGGATGTGTTAGCTCATATGAATGCCTCACCTACACATCATCATCATCATCATCATCATCATCATCATCATCATCTAAACTATACCACTTAATAACAGACGTATTGTCCAGATAAAAGACAATGCTTTACAAAGAATATATAACATGCAAACACATGAAGTACATTTAAAGAGAATATAAACATTTTACTTACAAAGGCATAACTATACCAATGTTTTAGGATTTTGAGGGTTGGATTTTATTTTTTTCAGGCTTTTTAAGCCTGCAAGTAAATGTGTATTCTACTCTCTTTCTAAGTAAAGTCAGTACATTTTAAACCTCATGGTCCTCTTTAGTTCTTCAGATCATGGCAAAACTCTTACTGGTATTTGACATCCAACCCATAAAAAGTAGATTTTCCAAAGTATCCCCATTAGGGTTTATTTTCCCTAATATTGTCATAGTCATTCTTTAGTAAAGTGATTGTGTTGGTATGGTAGTTGTAGTGTTGCAGTATCATTTTTGTAGAACATCATAAATCTAGCATACAGGTATTATATTCTGAGCTGACACAGTATTATGTGTGTGGATTTTAATTAATAGTTGTCTGTTTCCTACTTGTAGGGTTGGCTACCAGGTGAATTCAGGTACCACATATGTCAGTATGAAGAGGTGGTTTCACTGGAGGACCACACTGGTTTGGAGGCCACTTTGAGGCTGGATGTCCACACTGTGGAACAGGTCAAGGAGTGGGTACAAAAGCTAAAGGGGTCATCAGGGGTGACATGGAGGGTGGATGTTACCCGACCCAGGTTGGGGAAGTAAGTGTTGTCTTGTTGATATTTCTTGAAGTTACCTTTTAATGATCCTTTTTACTTAGGCCTGTACTATAATAAATCTGCTTTATTTTGTTCAGGCAAGTTATAAGTGTCAGCATAGGGTGAACCCGAGAGCAGCCAAAAGCAGCAAGAACACCTGCTGTCAAGCAAAAATGCACACAACACTCATGAGCACTCGTGGGGAAATTAATTGGGTTTACTGATCCACATACTTATTATTTCATGTTTTGTTTTATTTACATAATATTGATATTGATTTATGTTATAGGACCCAGTGGCGTCGCCTGGCCCCGGACAATTCTCCCTCAATAATATAATACATTAACCGTGCTTTACGTGAACCTCAAAATGACACAAGAGAGGACGGCAGAACTGTAATTTCCCGTATTCAGTGAATGCAACAGAGGCAAGACACCAGACCAATCAGAGAGTTGCATGGAAATAAACGTGTGCTTGTGTCATTCAAGCTCGGCTCTGTGTGTGTGTGGCGATAGCGCATTTATTGTGATAGAGTGGGAGAGTGGGAGAGAGGGAGAGCGAGAGAGGGAGAGAGGGGGACCGGTGCCAGCAGGGACTATGTTGTTAGCATCTGGTTAGCTAGCTGCACTAACGGACATAAGGAGCCGTTTGTTCCACAACAAGCTGGAGGAGAGCTCTCCTCTCAGACTGAGAGGCTCAGGTGAGCTAAAGGACTCTTGAGTGTTTAGATACTTAACTTTAGTCTAAGTTATCTCAGTGGGTCTCAAGCGGTTTGGTCACAAATTATTCAAAAGATTATCTCCGCGGCACACCTTCATATGATCATTTTAGTTATACAAAAATAAGAGAATAAAGGAAAAACAGGTATGAAATACTATATGGCAGTAAAACAAGAATAGAGTTTAAAAGGAGAGTAATTTGTAAAATATCCATAAAGAAAAAGAAAATCTGTTTACAGTTCTGTTTCATATGAGTGTTCCCGCCTGGAACACCACCACTAGTGTGCCCTTGAGTAAGGCACTTAGCCCTTAGTTACTCCAGGAAGAATGTCCCTGTAATTGGTAATTGTAAGTAGCTTTGGATAAAAGCGTCAGCTAAAATGAAATGTAATGTGTTGAAAGATGTATCCATAGATCTCTCCAAGTTGCTCTCAAAGTGCACCAGATTGATGCTTTTAACTTCAATATTTAAAAATAAATCTTCCCGGGGGAGCACGCCCCCGGACCCTCCTAGAGGAGGTGAGGTCTGCCCCCCACTCGTAAAAAATAGCACTTTACCCCTGCCTATATGCCGTGAGCTGATTATCGAGCCTTCATTGTAACAGTCGCGTGTGTACTGTGTGTGTGCGGGGAGTGTTGCAGTACAAAATTCCACTGTAGTGCCACTGTGGGCTAGCCCCGAATGTTTTCAGGTCCAGGCGACGCCCCTGATAGGACCGAAGAACCACACATGCCTGACTTACCATTTAAGGTTATCCTAATAAACAGGCACAACCACAACCTTTTTGTTGCGGACACCATCCGCCACCGAGATGTTGGGGAAAAGGCAATCAATATACTCACAGGGCTCTTTGAAATTGGCTACACTCCAACATCTGCACTGGCGGTCCTAAAACACGACCTCCAAATGGAGTATGGGCAGCCAGCGATATGTGTACGCGTCGGCCAACAGGGAGATCTGGCTCAAGACGGTGTTTATTTTCTGGGCGCCCTGTGAAACAGCACAGTTTAAGTTTGGCAGTGGTGTTGAACACCAGGCATTCTAAAAAACATTAATGTATTTATTTGATCCCTCTGTTTAGAGGCAGGACACTATTTGGTGCCTCTCTACGCTTTCTGACTCCTCTTCACCCCCATCCCTCTGTTTAGAGGCAGGACACTATTTGGTGACCCTCTACACCCTCTGACTCCTCTTCACCCCCATCCCTCTGTTTAGAGGCAGGACACTATTTGGTGCCCCTCTACACCCTTTATGTATCTGTTTGTATATGTGTATGCCTGTGTATTTCTCATTTGTTTTTCACCTTATGTCTTTGTTATGTCTTATCCCATTTATGGCCTGCACCTTGTCGTGGTAAGTGGGCTTTTTACTAAATCAGGCCTCATGGTGTATCTCAAATGCTGAAATATAACCTCCCTGTTAATACAAATCCATTACCCTATATCACAGTATTAAATGACTAAAGGTCCACTGCCCTCTGCAGTCATGAAATCTTTCCAGAGGCTGGTGTTGATCCAACCTAAAGGACATCACATGATGTGGGAGGGGGGAGGCGTGTGGCACAGTGGATAGAGCTTGGTGTTGGGATCAGGGGAGCACAGGTTCAAACCCCACTGCAGTCAGCATGTCGTGTGTGTAATATCTGTGGGGATTGTCCACAGTATTCAGTATGTAAGTCGCTTTGGATAAAAGCGTCTAACAAGTAACATGTAATAATAACATGACCCCTGCTTGACCTCCTGCAGTTGATGCAAACAGGTACAGTAAGTGGATCATGCAGTCAACTTGTATCCTGGGACTTCAGCTCAGCATTCAGCAGTCCCCTGCTCCTACCTCACCCCTCCCACTGTCCCAGCCTTCACCTGGTGAGACGTATACACCAATTAAAAGACATGATTATTACACAGTCAACCCTTATTCAGAGTGCCTAATAAATGTTTTTTTTTTACAGTGCATATTTTGGCTTTTTTGGGACCATCCTAAGGCACATGTGTGTAAGTAACAATTAATGCTGTTTAATCTGCAACAACTGTCAGGTGGTGTTATTGATTATCTTTGCAAAAGAGCCCCCACCAATATTGATTTTGACCAATATCTTTTAATTGAAATATGGGAGTAAAAACAAAAGGTTAGAATTGATCCTACCATATTATGTTATTATTATTGCAACTGTTTTAATTATATTGTGTTGCTGTGTTTGTGTGTGTTTATTTATATACATATGTGTGTGTGTACAAATGTACATATGTATGTACATATGTATGTGTGTACAAATGATTATTGCATCTGTGTTTATTATAGTGTTGTTTTGTTTATTATAGTGTTGTTTTGTTTGCGTGTGTTTATTTATACACACACACACATATATATATATATGTATGTGTACAAATGAATTAATATAAAGTGTATATATATGTGAGAGTGTGTATAAATGAATAAATACATGTGTGAGTACATATAAGTGTGTGTTTATGTATATATATATATATATATATATATATATATACATATATGTTTATAAATGTATAATATATACGGCATATATATATATATATATATATATATATATGGCATATATATATAATATATATATATATATATATGGCATATATATATAATATATATATATATATATATATATATACACACACACATACTGTATATAAAAACAGTATATGTGTGTACAGTATATAAATGAATTAATAAAAGTGTATATATATAAAATAGTATCATTACATAATGCTGTCAGATAAATCTAATACACAGTAATAGTCAAGGTTATATTCAATATTCTGCACTTACACCAGCTGATAAGATATTTAAAACGTCTTGTTTGTCCTGAAAACGAAATTTGAGGATACACACACAGGCTATTTATGATAAAACACCAGTAATACAATCTCAGGACTCTTCGATATGGCTTTGATTATAGGATCGTTAACTTTCAGTCAACACATCCTTTGGAAAAACAAAAAACAACTATTCAATATTCTGCTTTACTGCGACCGCTAAAACTGCCGAAGATGACGTCTATGACGCTATCGCGTGCAGTGCTTCTCAAAGTGTGGTCCGCGGACCACTGGTGGTCCGTGAGCGCCTCCTAGTGGTCCGTGAGTATATTGGTAAAATTTCACATTTGAAATACATTTATTTATTTAAGTTTTCCGCACTCTCGCAGGAATATCTCCGCAATGGAGCGAGCTTAAGTTTCACTTTCGATGATATAGCCCAGATAAACACCTTCATCACACATGTTGCCACTTGTTTGTACCATTTTTGTAAAAAACGATGTGTTTTGGGATATTTGTGGAGTTAGGTGGTCCGCGAGTGTTTTTTTATTGGTTAAGTGGTCCTTGGTATGAAAAAGTTTGAGAAACACTGGCGTAGAGCTACGTCGAATGCGGAAGTGGGCGTGGTTAAATCTAAACTGGGTTGGAAAAACGATAGACGCTTCCGGGCCAACAACCGGGCTAAGTATGCTAAACTAGTGAGAGAATGAACAAAATACAACAAAATGAACATATTTTACCGTGAATTAATTGTAATACACGTTTCAAAATTAGGCCTCAGTAACAACATACTGATACCGGTTAGTAAAAACCATGAATTAATGCTTTGACAAGTCTGCAGACGAAAAATATTTTAAAATGCATGTTTTCTGAATGGCCAACAGTGTATATGCTCCGACCGTCCACCAGGGTTGCCAACTCTCACGCATCTGGCGTGTGACACACGCTTTCTCTCTCAATCTCACGCTCTCACGCTGCCCAAACTATTCTCACGCCAAAAACAAGATGAACCGGCGATCGTTTTTGGTTGGTTATTTACAATGTTGAGTTGACAGCTGCTCAAGCTGTCGATCCGCTCCCTCCCCGCCCCCACCACTCTTAACAACGTTAACAGACAGCAGAGCGGTGGGAGACGGTTGGTCAATCCCCGACCCGTATTGCGCATGCGCAGATCTAAGATCCAGTAGAAATGATAAAAAAGTTAAAGTCTGCTGCTTATTGTTCTACTAGGCCAAAATAGAGTCAAAGAGTATATGAGAGTGAGAGTGTGTTAATTAATAGATTTGGCAGTTTGGAGTGAGTCTGCAGATTTGTTTGTGTGTGTGCGTTTCATGTATAGGCCTCTCACGATAATTAATTTTGCTGGATACATTTTCCCCGAAATTATTGCGATAAACGATAATATTGTCGGCACCGTTGTATGACCATTTTAGACCACTGACATAATGATAATATATAATAATAATTCAAGTACATCCTTTCAAACTGCTAGTCACATCCTCATGTAAATGGCAATTTATCGAGCTCATTTTTATTTATAGGGCACACAATAAAACAGTGGAAACAAACATGTGACTTTCATTAGTGCATGAAACTTTGTGCCCTTTATAGTCTGTGTCCAATATTGTGTATTTGTATATATTGTAGGCATATATATATATATATACACGATAGCAGTCATTTAGTGCGCATTATGTGTAATTAAACCCATGATATCAAAATCTCACTCCAGCCAGGTACCCAAAGTTGGCAACCCTGCCGTCCACACTCACAACAACGGCCTATACAGACATAAATAAATCAGTGACTGTATTCGCCATGACACAGACAGTCTGTGGTTTGTACTTGTTTAACTTTTGTCTAGTTTCTGAACAGATATGAGGAGCTGTGAGCTCTGAGGGCTAACAGCTAACGGCTGATGTTGGTTTTGTGTTTCGCATTGAAGATGACGTCACGGCTCCGCCTACACTGCGTTACTATATTTACTACCCCAGTTCCTAAACTGTAATGGAAATGCAGCATAAAGTGAGCCTGGCCTACCAAGGCCTAACTATACCGTACTAAGCCGTGCGAGGCCCTGCAGTGGAAATGTGACATTAGACTAAGTTAACTATCTAAACACTCAAGAGTCCTTTACCTTACCTGAGCTGTAGTTATCAGTCTCTCAGTCTGACAGGAGAGGACTCTTCTCCACCTTGTTGTTGAAACAGCTCCTTATATCCGTTAGCGCAGCAAGCTAGCACCAGATGCTAACAACAACAATACACGTAACCGGTGCGCGCACTCTCTCTCTCGCGCCACACATACACACACCCTACGGAGCTTGAATGACACACAGAGACCAATCGAGGGCTTTAGTGTATGATCTATATGAAAGTGGCCATGTCGGCAGGCCACATCATGTGGACAGCCAGTCACCCTGACTGTGAGGCAGAGTCAGACCCACATTTGCGCAGCGTTGCATTCACAATACATACATAAAAAGAAAAATCATCAGGCCAGCAGGCCAAACCTGAAAATGAGTATCATTTAAGTTATCGGTTAAGGTAAAGGAAAGACCATGGTCATAGTTCAAAAAAATCTAACACTATTTCAGCATACCACAGTTAAATGACAACATTGATACCACTATCATTGTGGTACTATGAATATAAAACTACACATAGCAGATGGTTAGCTTAGCAAAGAATGGAAAACAGGGGAAACCACTGCTCTGTTTAAAGCGGCAAATAAATAAACATACCAACACTTCTTAAGCTCAATATAGCACAAACATCAACAGTGATTAAAAGAGAGATAAACTGTGTGAGATTTAGAGGTGCTGGCAGCTAGAGATTGCAAAAATTCCAGCCAATTATTTAACGTTTAGCATTAAATTAAACGACTGTATTTCCTGAAAGATGAAAGTCATTGTTGAAACAAACTGTTATGAGAGGATGTGAGCCGCGGTGTCTGCCATCAAAGTCGGACACTGAATGCCGAAACCATTCCACTGAATTCCTCCATCAGAGGACTTGCGGTGCTTTAACAAGGTCACACCATGTTTGCCTTTGAGAGGATGCTCATTATTCCCACAGCTATAAGAGGAGGTTGCTTGTCAGAGAAAGGTAAACATCTGAACAAATCACCCATGCTAAGGACAGTCTTGATTACACACACCAGACAAATAGCCTCCTTATTAAAGGCCTGGAAGGACATGTA